GCATTTAGTACATTTACAGTGTTATGCAACCACCACTTCCATATAGCTTCAAAAATTTTCATCACCCCAAAAGGAAATGCAATACTGATAAAATAATTACTCCTATTTCTCCCTCTACTTATCCCCTGGCAACTACCATTCTATATTCTGTCTCTATAGATTTAACTATTCTTGATATTTTGTGGAAATGGAATCATACAATATATGATGTTTTGTGTCTATAGCCTATTTTTTTACTGTATTGTTTGTCTTCTTACTATTGAGTCCTCAGAGTTTTTTATGTGTTCTGGATACAGGTCCTTTGTCAGATATATGTTTAGCAAGTATGTTCTCCTAGCTTCTGGTTTACCCATTCATTTTCGTAATGCTGTCTTTTGAAGAGCAGAAGTTTCAATTTTGATAATGTCAGGATAATCAATTTTTTCTTTTTATAATTTGTGTTTTTGTGTCCTAATTGAGATATATTTACCTACCCTAGGGTTGTGAAGATTTTTCTCCTGTGTTTTCTTCTAAAAGTTTTAGTTTTTATGTTTAGGTCTGTGATCCACTTTGAGTTAATTTTTGTGTATAACGTGAGATAACAGTTAAGGGTTTTTGTTTTTATGCATATGGATATCTAGTTTTTCCGCTGCCTCTGGTAGCAAATGGAAAGGACTAAAATAAGAAGAAAATTGGTTGGACATCTGCCCAGAAAGTGATTAGATCCTGTCCCCCTGCTCCACATTGTTGGTGGTTGCCCCTCTCTTAGCCTATTTCATAGTGGCATACCAGGTAAAAACATGTCTTTTCTGAGGAATTTTCTCATCAAGAGGAAAGATGTAAAGATATTGACATCTGAGATTCCCCAACCATAAAATGACCTGGCCAGGTCACCCATGTGTTGTTCATGGTTGACAAATTTTACCTGCTCATTCAGAGATTCCAGGAAGCTTGTCAGAGCCCTGTTCTTGAATAGGAACAGAGAGCAGGGTCACTGGGACCTGAAGAAAGCTTTTTAAATGAAGTTACAGATATTACAATCGTCAAAGAAAAGAGGATGCTATCAAGAGGGAAGAAAAGCATTTTTCAGAGCTTAAAAGAGAACTCTTAGAAGTTAAAAATACGAAAACTAGAAATTAAGAAAAAATGTAATTAGAATAATTGTAAGACGAAGTTGAAGAAGCTCGCAGAAAGAAATGGACAATAGGGGAGAAAAGTTAAGAACGTTAAAGGATTAATCCAGCATGTCCAATAACCAGAATGAAAGAAGAGAAGAAATGAAAGGGAGGAAGTATCAATGAAATGACTCAGAAGTGGACATGATTCCACCATGAAAGGGCCTGGCAGGGAGACCACTCACTCAGTGTGTGGAAACAGATCTGTACTGAGGCCCATCACCACGCAATGCCCATGCCCTGGAAACTAAAACAGACCTTAGCTCCCAGAGAGAAAGGAGGGGGAAAAAAGCAAGATTGGACTTAGAATGGAAAAATTATTTCCAATCTAGGATTTTATACCCTACCAAACCACTCATAAAGTTTGGGAATAGATTATTAACAATTTCATGAATGGCTTCAAAAATTTTACCATCCACTCTCCCCTTTTCAGGAAGCCAGAAGACGTGAGCTACTAACTTGAAAAAATCAATTAAGAAAGGAAAACGTGGGAAATAGGAGAGCCAACACACTAGAGCAGAAAGGGAATCTCCCAGATTTCCTGACAGGAGATTCCAGGGTGACTACTATGCTGCAGGTGGATGCTAACCATTCCAGACTGGAGCAGAGCTGAAGGCTCCAGGAGAGCATCTTCAGGGTGGAATACCTGTGAGGTTCTGCATCCTGAAGGAAGAGTTTGGTAATTGACAGAGATTTGGTAGAATTCATGACAAGTACATAGAATACTAATGTAGAGATGTATATAGGAAAGGAAAAGTAATCATGTTTTATTACATTTAAGACTATAAATTACCCAAAGAATCATTGTAACCTGTAACTTTTGACGTGTGGTATTTTTATTATCAACTAGTTCAAAGTACAGTCTCTTTTCCACTGTGATTTCATATTGACTTATGAGTTGAAAAGGATGTTGTAAAATTTCCAAACGTAGGAGGATTTTTTAAAGTACTTATTTTTTGCATGATTTCTCATTTAATTATATTGTGGGCAGAGAATGCGTCCTATACCATACTGATTCTTTGAAATTCATTCAGACCTGCCTTATGGCCTAGTGTCTGGTCAGTTTTCATAAATATCCCATGTGTCCTTGAGAATGCACTTTCTCTAATTGTAGGCAGTGTTTCTACTTGCCTTGCCAACAAATCAAATTTGTTGGGTGTATGCAAGTTTTCTAAATCTTTACTAGTTTTTTCCTCTTTAACTTAAAAATTGGCAGAAGTGTGTTGAAATCTCCCAAAATGATGTTGGATTTGTTCAAGTCTCTCCGTAGTTTTAGTAGTTTACACTTTACGTATTTTGAGGCTAGGAGTATAAAGGTTTAGAATTATATGTCTTTCTGGTTCAACTAAGCCTTTTTATTAATATTAGTGACCTCTCTATCCTTAATAATGCTTTCTCTTCTAAAATCTATTTTGTTTACTCTCAAAACTACCTCCTCAGATTTCTTTTTGTTAACCCTTCCCTGAAATATATTTTTTGGTCCTTTGAACCTCTCTGTGTTATAGGAGGTTTCCTGTCGACAACTTATTAGAAGACCTTTTTTTCTTTCTTCAAACCACACGGCAACCTCTGTCTTTTAACTAACAAGTTTAAATTATTTTTATGCTATTTCTAATATGCATACACCTATGTCTATCATCTTACTTATCTTATATTTTCTTGCCTTTTTGTGCTTTACCTTTGTGTTTTCTTGTTTTTGTTTGTTTGCCTATAGTTCTCATTCCATTTTTTCCATCTAGTGATTTAGAAGTTATATACCCTATTTCTGTTCTTTTGATGGTTATCCTTGAAATTTGACCACATGTACTATAGTTAATGCAGTCTAGAGCCAATACCTTAATCCTACTCTGAGTGATATGAGGACTTGGGAACATTTGAACTCTAATCACCCCCATTTAACTTACTTGCTATTCATTTCCAGTTTTTCAGCTCTGCACACATTAATTAATATTATTGGTTGTGTTGTTATTTTACCCCACCATGTTTATTTTGATTTGTTTATATTGTGGCTCAGTAGTCATTGTATCTTAGACCTTTTTCCCAGGATAACTTTCTTCTTCCTGAATCACGCAATTTAGAAATTATTTTAGTAATTGCTGTAGTAACTAGTAAATATTTCAGGATCTGTAAGTGGAAAATGTGCTTAGTGTTTCTTTATCTAAAAATGTGTTTATTTTACCATCATTCTTGAAAGATAGTTTTGCTAATACACAGTTCTGAGATGGCTTATTTGTTTATCTTCCTGTATCTTTGAATTCATTTCTTAGATCTTTGGGGAAAAATTCTCAGTTTCTAGATCTTCAAATTATTGCTTCTCCTTCCTCTATCTTGTTCTTCTGGAATTCCTATTAGACCTATGTAGACTTTCTCATTCTGTCATAGAATGAGACATAGACTTTCTTATTCTGTCCTCTATATTTCTTTCTTCTCTCATGTTTTCTTTCTCAGCTCTCAAGATATATTCTGGGTAATTTGTTAAAATTTATAACCTAATTCACATATATGTGTACACACACACACACACACACACAGTTCAGGTACAAATAACCATTTGTTATACCCATTTAATGAATTTTTTATTTCGGTAAGTGTAGCTTTCCTTTTTCAAAGTTCTATTTCATTCTTCTTCAAATCTGCCAAGTCATTTTGTGTAGCTTCTTGTTTCCTATTTATATTTTTGTCACTTTACCTTTTTAAAATAGTTATTGTATATTTCATATCTTTTAATTCTAACATCTCAAGTCCTTAGTAGGTCTATTTTTATTTTTTCTGACTCTTCCCACATAACAGTTTGTTTTCCTTTTACCTAGTGATTTTTATTTGAGCACGTCTTTATTTGATTTTACTCCATGGCAACTAGTGATCCAATTAAAGGTGTTTTCTTTCAGACAAGATTTACCTTCTCTTTTGAGGTGGTGGTGGGAGTAGGGGATTGGAAGTGGTGCCCATGGACCTGGGAAACTTCAATCAGGAAGTCTAGACTTCTCCTGCCTTTTTCAAGGCGACGTGTAAGGTCCACTGCTTCAGATTTAGCTTTCCTTTGTTCCTTATTTGTTTGTCATCTGTTCTTTTCCAACATGTACTTTCCTTTATATCCTCATCTTTAAATAGGTTTGTTCCTGACAGTTTATTTGGTGGGGTTATTTACTGCCTAAATTTTTTGGGGTTCCAGGAAATGTTTTCTGAAAACATGTGATTTCATGATAAAATTGACTTCATTTACCTGAATTATGAAGTGAGAGGATTGGAAATTCAGTCATAAATAGATTTTTATAAGTACTGCCCTTTGAACTTAAAAATTGGGGGGAATATCATCAAATCACTGGATAACCATCAAGTCTCTGTTGCTGCTAGCTAGGACACTGGTTTTTACCCTGCTGGGCTATGCATGTCTGTAAATATATACCATCTCAGAGAAAGTCCTTTATTACTGTTCTCATCATAATGTTACACTGAAGATTTTCTCATTGTTGAGCCTCCATACAAAATATAGATGTTTCCTGTTATGGTGGACGGTGTAAAAATGGGAAAAGAGGATACTCTATTTCTGGGCAACAGTAATATACTTGAAAGGATGGTCTTCTTTGTGTGCTTTTAAACCTCACTTGACTTAGGGTTTAGTTTCATGCCAAAAGAGAATTCTGTCTCCTGTATTTTGTGTATAGTGGTCTAAATAACTGCGAGTGCAAGTCTCAAAAGGATGTGCTGGAATTCAACTTCATTTACCCTGACTCATTTATTTGGGAAGATGACTACAATGGATTTCTAGTGAAGAAGGAAATCTTGATCTCTCTATTGAATCAAAAACTGTCTTCTAAAAGAACAAATGTTAATGCTTTTTTGTAGAGTCTGCCTTCTTGTACAGGATGCCTATGGAATGTTTGGTGAAGTATACTCAGAGGGCACCATCTTGAAGAATAGACAATTGGAAGGGAAGTCCTGCAGACTGGCAGGAATGAAGGTTCTACAAAAGGCCACCAGAGGAAGGTGAGGACACACTATGATTGCATCCAGTTTGCTACATGGCTAGTTCTTTTATTAGTCTCTTATTATATTTTACTTTACTTTATTTTATTTTATTTTATTTTTTTGTGAGGAAGATTGGCCCTGAGCTAGCATCTGTTGCTAACCTTCCTCTTGTTGCTTAAGGAAGATTGGCCCTGAGCTAACATCTGTGCCAGTCTTCCTCTATTTTGTATGTGGGCTGCCACCACAGCATGGCTTGATGAGCAGTGTGTAGGTTCACACCCAAGATCTGAACCCGCAAACCCTGGGCTGCCGAAGTGGAGTACACAAACTTAAGCACTACGCCATCAGACCAGCCCCTCTAATTTTATTTTTTAAAGACAATAAACTAGAATCCTAGAGTTTACCTGTAAAACAAAGTCAGGGGTTGAGTGGAGCCCATAAAGTACCTCTGGGGGAAGAATTATAATTGACAACAAAACAATTATGCAGGTTTAGTGATTCATAATTTTATTAAAATTAAGAAGATAAAAATGTTATGTGTGTTTTAATTCTAAAGATTTTTCCTAACTATAAGAATGAGGCAACTTTGTATGTCAGTTTATGTAAAAAATATCATATCATGAAAAGGCATTTTGTAAGCTTTAAGCAAAACTCTTAAGTTGTCACATCTTTTCGCTTTCTAGTAAAAAAGCTTTATTCTCTATCAAGTTGCATGATACTGTCAGTGCAAATAATTCATAACCAATCTATAAATCAAAATTGAGGTGAGTTTATTATGAGGCAGATCTGAGGACTTAGCCTGGGGCCTTCCTCCCCCAACGATGGAAGGGCACCAAAGAAGTGGGATGTACACAGTGGTTATATACTGTCAGAGAGCATGTATCACATATGATTGAATGTGCCTTTTACAACAGTCATGAGCTTGCCTAGCCAGCATAGCAGTTCACCCAGCAGGTAGCAGATCTGCTGTCTCAATGGACACAGCAGGTAGCAGGTCTGTTGTCTCAAGCCAAGTGGTCACAGAGTGAGCCCAGTAATCAATTCCTAGCCTAGGCAGAGATGCTTGTCCTTAAGGAAATGTCACTGTAGGGGAAGTTGCATCTTTATCTCAAGGACATTTGTTCTTGCCTTTGAGACATAGCAAATGCTTAAAACAGATATACAATGCATGCTCAGTGGCCATGTCAGGCCCTTTTGGAAAAACAAGGTCAGGCTGAATTAGTTTTACACCAAATGGCTTCCTCAAATACTCCAATTTATCATATTGCTTGCCATTTATTTATTCAATATCTCACCCTAAAATGTTGTTTTGTATAGGCAGAGGTGGAATGGTACATATATCTGGCCCAAACTGTGGCTGTTACATCTCCAGTAGTCATCTTAATATATAAGTTGGGAAAAAGAAGAAATATTCTTAATGGAACTGTCCAGTCATATAGAGAACTAGTGTAAACAGTGAATTTGGGATTTTCTCAATCTTATTGTAACTTATATTTCCTCAAGTAGTGTTATTTTAACTCTCTTGATATTAGTGTTTTGTTTAATTATGGTAACATCTGAGCTTATAACAATATCTAAGGGAAAAAAAACTTATGATGAGTATGTACTATTCTGACTTCGAAGCACAGGTATTGGTAGCATCCTCCAGTAGTTAGTATAATGACCATTGTAGCTATAGTCATTCTAAATTGTGAGCATTTACGAAGCATTTTTCCTGACTGACCTCCATAAGCAGTCAGCTTTCCCATGAGCCTCAACTCTGTCTCATCTACCTTTCATATGGCACTGGGCAGGTGAGTGATGGTTCTGCCCAACTGAACTGCACACTCAGCTCTTTGTTTTCCTGAAAAACATATAGTTCGTAGACAGATCCCCTGTATGTCTTGGGTAGACACAAGAACATTTTATTGATCCATGTAGCTTTATCTTGTAACAAATGCTTCCTTTTGTTTATAAAAAGGTGACTGTGGGGCTGGCCCAGTGGCACAGTGGTTAAGTTTGCATGTTCCGTTTCTCGGCAGCCTGGGGTTCGCCGGTTCAGATCCCGGGTGCGGACATGGCACTGCTTGGCAAAAGCCGTGCTGGGGTAGGCGTCCCATGTATAAAGTAGAGGAAGATGGGCATGGATGTTAGCTCAAGGCCAGTCTTCCTCAGCAAAAAGAGGAGGATTGGCAGTAGTTAGCTCAGGGCTAATCTTCCTCAAAAAAAAAGGTGGCTGTATTATAATGGCATTGCCTTATAGATGAGTGAGGTGCCAAGATATTTGGAAAGGGTCATATGAACATTATCCTCATTAAGGCTGAACCTCATTTTAGTCCTCAGTTTCAGAATCGCAATCCTCTGAAAAGACTAAATGTAGTTACAGTAAATTATACCGCTGCCCTGACGTTGACCTGCCAGCAATATAACTCCATCAGGGCCATTTAGGAGGTAATCTTCCTTGACACGAACTCCACACGTGAGCCTTCCACCTGAGCACGCCAGGGTAGGAGTGCGCTCCCCATCACAGGAAAGTCTCCTGCATCACAGGGAAGCAGCACTGCTCCAGCTGTCAGGGTTCGTGGTGTGCTACAGGCCAGAGGGAGGCCTCTCCAGGAGGTGCACTTCTTTCTGGAGACTGCAGGATATAACTTCCTGTGGAAATGCTACTGGTGAATGACAGAGCCAGGACTGGAATCCAGGGATCTTTGGCTCTGTGAAGTTCACATTCTTTTACCTTTATTTTGTACAGCCATATGTGTACCTAATATTTAACCTGGTTTTTCTGGTTTACACTGAAAGCCTAACTACTATCTACAGTGTTACCATAGGAAATGTTTTCTCCGTGGGAAATGCTCTGAGTATACCAAATAATTCATTTACAAACTTTTGGAACCCATTCCATTTTTAAGTTGACTACTAAATATTTGATGCTTTTTTTTTTAGTTTGGGATTAATTTCTTTATCTTACATATTTAACTTTACTTTGGCACGCAATCATCTAAATAAATATTTAGATTGTCTTTTTGTTCTCTTGGAAGCTATATTTCTTCAGAGCAGATTCTTAAATAGTTTTGGAAGGTTAGATGTTATAATTCCCTATTAGTGATGTCATCCATTGTCAGTCATCAATCCGTGGCCCAGTGAACACAAATTGTCTGTCTTTTGCTTTTTTCCCAAATTATTGTGTTTCATAGCAACTCTCATAAACGTTAACAAAATATTCTTCTCATCTTAACAAAATACACTTACTTCCCAAAATTCAAGCTAAAATGATTAATTATAATTATATAATTCCAATACCTAATACAGGAAATAACTTGTTTGCCAATTGGAAGATAGTTGTATGTTTGTTCTAAGTCATAGAGTCTTTTAGATCTTGGCTACCAGATTTCATCTGGTCCATGGTTATAGCAACAGAAAATTACTGCTCCCTACCACCACTTTGAAGTGGACTGATGACCTCAGAGCTGTCCCATTAGACAGACCTGCTGTTGAACCACTGTCGAGGGAGCACCAGTCTGTCCGCTTGCCTTATTCAGGAAGGCTTGCAGAAAACAACCATCATATCTTTTGCCTTTCTCTAACATGTTTTTGGAGTCGAATGTCCCTACCGACTGATTAAAGTAAGTAGAGTCAGAAAAATAGCCTGGATTTAAAGAAAAAAGCTACCATTTTCAAAACAGCACAGCTGTGGCATGCTCACTAAGCAGAATGGGGAGCTCTGCCTGTGCTTTCTTCCTCTTGAGAGCACTCCCTGTTATTTGTCCAGTGACTTTCTGTTCCTAAGGCGTGTCCCCTGACCTTTGTCCTCCCAAGTGGCCTGTGCAGCAGTTAGTAGGTCAAACAGCTGAAAAGTTTCTTTATAATCCTGTGTAGGAACTTTATGTTTTTATTACTGATTATTATATGCTTTTATTTTTATATGATAGGGCAATACTGAAGGGGAAAAAAAAAATTTCCTGAAATGTCTTAACTCTATAGGTATGGAAAACACAGCTAGCAAAATTTTTTGCAGAGGAGAGGAACCTCTTTTGGTTCAAAATCCTACTAGTATTTATGTCCAAACTTGTTAAAGCAAAACCCGCCTATTTCTGTATGTAAAATGTGTTATTGATTTATAGGTGCCGTTTTATTTAGATCTCTGGAATGGCCCTTTAAGAGTACTGTACTGGAGAAGATTTTATTGAAGAGCTATCAGTCAGTACTCACACAGGGTTCTATGTGAACCCTATAGAACAGAGGGTTCTATGTGGGTGCTGAGAATGACCAGGAAGCAATTGACACGATCTTTGTCCTTGAATTGCATCCCTTTGAACAGAAAACTCAACAAGCACAAGTATTGGAGCAGTTGATGCTTTAAGTGACTAGATCTTTACTGGCTAATCTCAAAAAGTTTCAAGAAAGGAGTGAGTGAGAACAAATGCCTTAAACATCTTAATCTGGCAGAAAGACAAGTTCTCTTCAAGTTGGTAAGATGTTACCTGTGAAGACATGGAAGTAGGATTAGGAAAGATATATGCAAAAGAGGAAGTTAGAAGGTTTATTGAAAAAAATTCCACTCATTTATTCTGTAAACATTTAGTACCTCTTTGTGCTGTGCCCCTGGCTAGCTTCTGTGGCACTGAGCTATTATGGTAGATTTGGGGGATTCATCCTAAACCAGAATATACTGAGGTATAAAGTCAGCTAGATTAAGCCTTAAATCTTGTTATTAGGGATTTTGCATTGATGGAAGAGAATATTAGGAACTCTGAGTGTTTGAGAGAAGAAAAGAAAAGGTAATAAAAATGAAAATGGAGTTAAGATTATTTTACTGTTGTACCTATAATAGATTTGAGATACAGGGAGAGGTTGGGGCAGGGTTACAAGTTTGGAAACTTCTGCAGCAATTGAAGGAAGAAGAAAAGTTACCAACTGATTTTGAATTTCTGGTACCTACAGACAGCTCTCCTTGGAGCTGTGGCGGGTGCCAAATGTATAAAATAGCCCACTTCCAGCAAGAGCTCATGGACCAGCAGGAGAGCCAGGAGGAGACC